ACAAATATATTTATACCAAAATGGCAGGCATCTTGATAGTTATCATTGACCTTTTAATTGACTTCAGTCTTCACAGAGAGGAGGAGGAACATCAAAGCGAAAAAAACCGAGAGACAGACATAAAGGTAGAAAAAAGGTTAGGTGAGCACTGTGGAAGTAGTCGATTATGACATACAGTGGGGTGATGGTAGTTTGAAGTGGGAAGTCAACTGCCAGTTAATAGACTTTTTTGCCGTATGAGTATGCGTTGCCCAGGGTGCACCACGTGGAGGTAGGTCTATCGAACACCCTCCCCCTTTACAAATATAATGGAATGCAAGATTCGAAAGCTGATTTATCGAATTAAATACTGCAGCGGACACTACAAGGAGACATTACAAATTAGACCAACAATTTATCGAGCATCCCCGCAGTGACTAGCTCAATCATGACGTCTTTCAAAAATCACCAACCCATAATGCTTCGATTTAAATTATCAAAAGAATAATTCACTAGAATAAGGACTTCACTTCATTTTTAGTAACGATATTAGATTAACTCCAACGCACACTAAATCTTAAAGCCCCTTTAAAAAAGAAGATATTTATTCAAGCAACAAAAAGTAGGAATAATATATTTGACAGATAAAGAGGAGGAGGATTATCCAAGAGCAGCCGGTGTAAAAGATCGCGCGGCCTCATCAAACGTGTTAACCTGACAAAATAACAAAAATAGTTACTGTTTAATTAACTTGAGTTAAAACTACTTTGCAAAGAAAAAGTGAATAAGAAATCATCTATTTCAATAAACGTTAATAGAGGCTGAAGTACAACTTCTCAAACGTCAATTCATAATCAGCAAGACAATAATCGATGAGCCTATATTATAACCACAATCTACTTTGAAGGCTTATGCTCAAATAGAAGAGTAAAAATTCCAGAAAAACAATCAATCAGGGAATGGGTATGTCATATATATACATGTATATAATATAAAGAAAAAAACAGATCATTTGAATGTAAGCATTCTAAATACTGATGGAAGGGGCTGCATCAAAAACGTCTCACTTTATTGCACCCATCGCATTTACAAACAGACAAAAGTAAACATGCTGCTAGTCGAGAATCTTAAGTAATACCTCCTTTAACTGACCAGTAATAGGAAAACCCGCTCTGCAAAATGGCCATAAGTTTCAATGCCTAAAGACGTACAACTAGCAAATATAACAGATTATACAGCAAATCGATGGTGAAGAAAAGGGAACTGCCGGATCCGAGTTTTCCCCCATACACTCTTCAGAACATACACTTCCCACAAACAAAGAAATAGCCCCAGACTTGAAGAGTTTCATAAAAAATTAGAGCTCATAATTTGATAGGTGAGGGTAGTTAACAAAAAATTCATGATAAAAGTTACCATGTTATCTAATGACTTGAGGAAAGGATGCGACCCATTAGTATCTCGAACTTGTGCCGTGTAACGGTTAATGGACTAAAATTTAAATAGGTAGAAAATCAACGAGGCAAGAGAGCATGGAAATAAATTAAACAAAAAGGACCAACATCAAAGGGCTTTCCGGTGCGTATAGCAATTGAAATCATATTCAAGAGAGAAGCACTATGATTAGGATCCTGGAAAGAAAAATAGACCTCAATAATGTAGTTAAATTCGCGAAATAGCATATCTATTAAACAAAGTAGCATCATAGATATTAACATGGAAATAGACGGATTGGTGGTCAAACTAACAATGTCAAGAGCTTGTCGAAGTAAGGACTCAGCGTCAGCAAGGCGACCAAGAGAAATCAAAGCTATAGCTTGTCCGTTGAGAAGGAGTGTAGAGGGTTTGTTCTTTTCCTGTAACTCCTGATAGATATTTAGAGCTTCGGTCACCTTATCACCTCCCTAGATGGATGAAATAAGGAAATAAGAAAGAGTACAGATTAAAGCTATGGCATTTAATAAGATAATACTATTTACCTGGGCCAGACATAACTCAGCAGAGGCTAGCTGGCAGGACAAAGCATCCTCGTTTTTAATTAGCATTTTTTTAACGAGTTTCTCAGCCAGATCAACACGGTTCATCATAATAAGACAATGAACAGACATTGCATCACTAGAAAAAGGAAACAAATGAAATTGGAAAAAGATGAAAAAAGATGTTCAATAGATTTATTAAAAGCTTCACCATAAAATATCTGACGACTGATGGAGAACTTTGAGAGCCTTGCCAGGCAACTAAAATGAAACAAAAGCATATATTTCGAAAAAAACCCACATCAATATTCATAAAGATTGTAGCTCCAACAAGGAGAGCTGTTGGATCTTGAGCAGAAATATCTCCAGAGAGAATAGTATCAAGCTTTTCAACGATAGCATCACTGAAAAAATGTGTGTTTGTCATTAAAAGTATAGTGTTTTACTTAGTGAGAGCGCCAGCCTGCTGCTTGGCTAAAAGTAAGACAAGTTGGAATTCGGGAAGATCATGAGATTCAGGTATTTCGTTTATAACAACATTGTACTTCTTTTGAGCAATGTATGCTTGGTATGACAGGAGATCCACTTGGTCACGAAATTCTGGACCAACAGCCTGTTGAAAGTGAATAAATAAATCAATAGGAATACTACGTTCAACAAAATATGGAACATGAAAATAGGTAATAAATGAAAACATTCAAGTAAGTATTACGTAAAAAAATATTCACCGGAATTCCATGGAGAAGTTTCAAACACTCCTGAAAATTTTCTAATATGAAGTTATCTTTCGCATCCTGGATGACGGACTCAGTATTCATTGTCGCAAATACGTGGACCTGTTCAATAGCAGAGGTTAGTAATACAAAAGGCTAATTTTGGAAAGTATAGTGATTTATTCAAGGACTTAGATAGTTAATATAATATATCATATGAATTTGACAAATTATTTATTAAAAATATCAAAAAATATAAGACACGTCATATAGAAATTATTATTTGTTTTCATGCCAACAACATAGAAGGTCAAGAAACAGTATTTTGTCTTCGACGATGTCTAGTCTCCCAAGATTGAGCGGCGTCAAAGAACTAAGGTTCCTTTTCTCTCCTGTTAACGCTTCTAGCGCCGGCTTAAGGTGAAAACTTTTGAGATTTCATATCTTTTAATTTTATCCTTTGTTTCACTCTTTAAACGAAGTTTTGGCATACATTGGTGATCTTATTTTGGATTTTATTACTCTGCCTTAAATGCGTTGGTCCTTCTTTTAGGGAATTCATTAGTAAGAACTATGGCGGCCTGAAGAACATCAATCCAAACGTTCAATTTATGATCCGCGAAGCCAATAATTCGCCTGCTCGCATCTATGCTAGGTACGCCTTTGGAAAAGAGCACATGGTCTCTGCAGATGGTTGCTCATCTACTGATATCCTAAAGAAGTTTTATGAGCTAAATTCGGTGTGATTTACTTTTCCACTCGAATTAATTCTACTGTTTCGAAAGCCAAATAGAACTCTAATTCGTAATCGATACTTTGTATTTTTTTCTAAACACTATGAGTTTAAGAAAACACCGGCAGTCTTAGAGCCTTTAGAATTCGTTGCACTGTTTTAAAGTAGCGGCTTTCGGTTTCTTCAACGCGTTTCCTTCCCTTCTCGGATCCAATTTCCAAATACATGTGGTAGAAATCAGCGTGTTTCTGAAGGAATTTAAAACCTATTAGTCTTGACTGAGTTTTATTAAATGTATAACTGCTCGATTTAAATAGGTTGCTCACATGAAGTGAAGGTTCGGGTTCTTCAGAAAATTTTTCAGCAGATTCCGCCATTTTTAACTGGTAAACGAATTTCCTGTCCATGGAGTATACTTTTAGTCGTTCCTTTGAAGAAGCAAGGGGGGCACTTTAGGTCATGAAAATGTATTAAAATTACATATGTGGATTAGGCTTTATTAATTACCTCATCGGCCGGTGAGTCGTTATCTTGGTGTTCAGTTGCAAGTAGAATAATGCGATTGGAATCGTGACAGGCTGCATTCCAATGGGACCAACTGAATGCCATTACCGTGCTTAATAAAGCCATCTGCTCGTACAGTCTCTGCTCTATTAGTTCATTCTAGAATGAATAAAGGTAAGGATCTTACACAATTTCAGGGTTTATAGTTTCCACAAATATTTAATTCTGCTATATATGAAGAGGACCGAAATTTTTTAAATAGTATTCGGAATATTGTATTCCCATTAGTAGAGAAATTTAATGTCGTATTTTTCTGAAATAATATTCATTAAAATAGTTCACCTTTTCGTTGCATTCCACTCGCGTACACGAGTCAAGTCTCGGAAACAAGTTAACTCCCGAGGCTCTAAGCACCTCAATAAGTTCATCAGGAGTGAACCATCGTCCAGCAACATGCTGCAACTCCAAAGCACCTTCATCTCCATTGGCGGAGGCCGAGGGGAGACCATGTCGTTCAAAGATACGACTTGGTTTCGTGGTAACTCGACGTGCAGTTGAACCCTTTCCACCTTCATCTTCCTCGGTTTCGATTATAGATGCAGACTTTCCTGAAGTAGACACCCCAGTCTGCTGTCTTGGTGTATCATCTTCAGTCGTCTTGGTAGGATCAAGAATTGCTTTTGGGTCCTCTGTGAGAATGGCTATGCGGTCATCCATAATATGGAGTTTTGCCTTATAGTATAAAAAATGAAAACAGGACGTGAAAGTAAATTTTCAAAATTTAGTTTCTGTTTAACTAGACTCTTATTCAGATAAATATTCTATATTCCTTATCAAAAATTGTTAAGAGTCAACAATTGCAATTCCTGTCTCAAACGAATGAATCCTCACCTCGGGAGAATGCTATGGATTGTTAGGGTTAAATGGGAAATTTTAACTTAGAGAATGCTTTGCAGAGAAGAAGAGACCGGTTTACGGGTGTGTTGGACCCTATAAAAAGACAAGAATGGCTGAAACTCCACGCCTGAATGCCATCCTCAGCAATAACATCAGATTCTATTCGAGTTGCTTCGTCGGGTACTCATAAAGAAACAGCAATACTTATTATTATGAGATGCTGAGAGAATAAAAGGCAATTATTTCAAGTGCCCTATTTTCCTATTCTTTTGCCAATCTCTTTCCCCAAAGTTGCCCAGATAATTTAGCACAGTTAATAAATGAGCCATATGTACCCCCCCCCCTCACCCATGGGGAAAGCTGAAGTCAAATAAGGAGCTAATGATAGCTTTCATAAAGCCTGCCATTTGAAATAATTCTATTAATAAATTAGGCATTTTGATTACTTCATCCACATTAACATTATTTTTACTCAATTTGGTACACAATTGAATGTAATCTGATATAAAATTTAGGAATAAATTGCACTTTTAGAATTCAAGTTACTTGTTAAGGAGGAAAATGAATTAAGGAATGATTCAATTCTTTCTACTCAAGCTGACTAGTGTTGACGACACAGAAAACCTTCTTCGCAATCTTGTGATCGTCGAAGCTACTTCATTAAATCTTAAGAAGGATTTATAACAAAGCCCATTTCTGAAGTTAAGTGGAAATTTGAAAATTTTTTTGGATAGTTGAGCATAAGAAATAAACCGGAGTGTGAATACGAATAATAAGAAATATAATTTTGGAACTCTCGTGTTTTCCAGTCGCTTTGTTCAATCGATGTTATGTGATCTGATTAATGGAATATTCTAAAGTCTAGTCAGTCGCCTTAATGCTTTCCTTTTTTAGCAAGTTAAATTTTAAATAATCTTCAAGTATTTTCTGTGTAGTTTGTATGGGAAAATATATTCACATTTATTTCAGTTAATGGGGGGTGTGCGATAGATTTACCTCCACGTGGAGCACCCTGGGCAACGTATACTCATACGGCAAAAAAGTCTATTAACTGGCAGTTGACCTCTGACTTCAAACTACCATGACCCCACTGTATGTCATATTCGACCCCTTCACAGTACTCATCTAGCCTTTTCTCTGCCTTTGTGTCCGTCTGTCTTTTACATCTTTGAAACACTCTTCTTTTCCCCTGTCGAATTCTTCCCACTTTAATGTCCCTCCCTTCTGTGAAGCCCGAAGTCAGCTAAAGGGCTAATGATAACTATCAAAATGCCTCCCATTTGAAATACATAAAATTTCAGTTAATGGACCCACCTTAATATATGCTCCAG